GGTCTTGGATATGCTCAGACTCATCGTGAACGGTCACTGTCACGGTCACTGTGTGTCAGTCCATCTTCTTGAGGCTCTTCCTTTCTTTCTATGATCTTTTACCCTTCCTGGCATGATGCCTTTTTCCAAGAATTGAAACAATACCCGGAGTATGTGAAATGAAGTTTCACTGTCCTTGACACACTGGTCACACTTTTTCTACGCCAGTCTTGTTTGTTCCTTTGGCAGTCCATGGCATGTATGTTCAGTACTCTTCTCCAACAGCAAGATTCAAAGGCATTAATTCTTCTTCTGTCAACCTTATTCATCGTCCAATGTTCAGATGGCTAAGAAACAACTGAAAAATACCATGACTTGGGGCAGACACACATTAGTCTTTAAATGGACATTCTAGCTTTTTAGCACATTGGAGAGGTCCTTGACTGCAGATTTTCCCAAGGCAACATGTCCTTTGGTTTCTTGAGTGATGTTATGATAAATGTTGATTGTGGATCTGAGTAAGATGAAGTCCTTGACAACTTCAGGCTTTTCTTCATCTGTGATAATGTTGCCTATTGATCCAATGGTGAACATTTTTGTCTGCTTGATATTGAGATATAATCTATCTTTAGTCTGATCTTCTGCCATAGTTGGTTCAAGTCTTTTTTCCCCCCTACAGTTCTATGAGTTTTGAAAAAGGCCTACTTTTCTGTATGTGAGCTCTGGTGTATAGTATGTTACTTGTGCTTCTAAATGAAAAGGCCAGTGGTTTGAATCCAAGGAATCAAGGTGAGAATATCCTTCTGTAAAGATTTATAGCCTTGGAAACCCAATGCAGGGTTGCTGTGACTTGGAATCAGCCTGACTGCAGTGGGCTTATTTTGCTATTGCATCTGCCATCATAATGTCATGCAGAATTTCCCTAAAAGTCCCTGTGATCAAAGACATTTTGGATTTACAAAATTGGGTTAGGTGGAGTTGGAATGCACTTTGGATAATACTGTTGTTGTTAGGTGACATCAAGTCAACTCATAGCCACCCTATAATCAACAGATCTGAACCCTGTCCTATTCTGTGCTGTCCACACACCTCCTGACACATTAGAGCCCACTGAGATGGTCACATGTCAATCCACCTGGTCAAGGATCTTTTTCTCCTTCACTGACCCTCTACCTTTCTGAGATACATATCTCTCTCCAGGAATAGTCCCTCCTAGCAACACACCTGAAGTATGGGAGGTGAAGCTTTATCATCTTTGCCTCCAAAGAACACATTGGCTGTACCCTTTCCAAGACATATTTGTTTGATCTTTTGGCATTCCATGGGATGTTTGGTGCTCTTCTCCAACATCACATCTCAAAAGCATCAATTTTACCCTCTGTCATCCTTATTCATTGACCAGTTCTCAGATGTATAGCAAATGATTAGAAAGACCATGGTTTGAACTAGACACACTTTAGTCCTCAAACTGACATCATTACTCCTCAATAATTTGGAGAAGTCTCTAACTCCAGGCTTTCCCAATGCAATGCATGCATCTCCTTATTTCCTGACGACTGGTACTAAGGGTGTTAAGTATAGATATAAGCAAGAGGAAGTTGTTGACAGTTTCAATCTTTTCTCCATCTGTCATGATGTTGCCTGTCAATCCAGTGGAAAGAATCTTTGTCTTCTTGACATTGAGACGCAGTACATATTGAAGGCTGTATTTGATCCTCTGTAACAAGTGCTTTAAGTCCTCCTCATTTTTGGATAAAAAGCAGGTTGAAGTTGATGGGGAGATCAAGCATAGCTACTACCTGGGCAAATGAGACTTGGTTAATTTATTTAAAATTTGCAGAAATAATCAGCACAGGGATATTGGAAACATGCTGTGACAATGGTGAAAGTTAAAGCTGTCTAATTCTTTGTCAAAGGTCTCGACAGCAGAATCATAACTATTAATAGAAAGCTTGAATGACTTATGTTCATATTAGACCTTTTGAAAATTCAGCTCTCTTCCAAGCCCAGTACATAAAGCTGGAGGTGTGCTTCACATAGCTTGGTTTGGTGAGGTCTGCAAGACCCTTTCACCTGAGCCAGGTGCACTCCCTCAGTCTTAAGGTACTAACATAGACCATGACTACAGCATGTGACTACATTAAAGGGTACTCAGGAGTGAACACAGTCACAGTTTCTCATTCCTAACCTCCTAGGCTGTTTTGATCTGTTCTAAGCACTTTTCCCAAAAATGGTTTTCCTGCCCTGATGCCTCTGGGAGTCATGTTAATAGACACTTGGACTTGGAGGGAGAAAGTGCAACTGATGTAGCCCTGAAATCAAATGCGGTTCTTGGTTCTATTATCCTAGGTGGTAATGTATTAAGTTAAATAGAATGTTAACTCATTTATGTATCAACATGGAGAAATATTGACTTACCTTCTTTTCCTATTCCAAAGTTAAATGTTAATAATTATGGGAAGTTCAAACAGCTGCTCTGACCAATATCTAAAAACAATGGCTACAGAGCAGAGAAATATTAAAAAAAAATTGGGACAAACTCTGGCGGCCTAGTGCACTACAATACCGGAGGTGTGCAGTTCGAATCCACCAGATGTTCTGCTGAAGAAGGAGGGACAATCTCCTTCTGTATCAGTCAGATCCAATTTGATGGTACACACATAAAAAATAATAATTTTTTAAAAAAGAAAAAATATTGAATTAATCATCACAAATATTTAAGTAGTTGCCTTGGTGGAGTATTTATTAAACTAAGCTTTCCTCTTCCAGAAGAGAGGGATTTCTTCTTTCTTAGAGGATTTGACTTTAAAAAAATTGACAAATTATATAATTGCCAGCAGTATTTTATAAAGAAATAAAATTTTATTTTATTATCTGAAATTGAGTTGGCCCACAACTCATGGCAGAAGCAAGCACTATCTGGTCCCCCATGACCCCCACTGTCAGTTGTGGATCGAATCGTTTTGGTCCGTATGGTTTTCACTGGCTGAGTTTTGGATGCAGGTCTCCAGGCTTTTATTCCTAGTCTACCTTTATCTAGAAACTCTGCTGGAATCTGGCTCAGTAGTAAAGTAGCACCCAGGCCAGCACCACAGTGAGAGCTTAGCTGAGCACAAGGTTCCTTAGCTGGCAATTGAACCGGGGTCTCCCATGTGGAAGGTGAGAATTCTGCCATGGAACCATCATTTCCTCAGCATCCCATCTTTTATGTTCTATTCTCTGATTCTGGAACATGCATTTTCTTACCCTGTACTCTTTTGTAGTACTTCCTCAAAATTCTATCCAACCTTTAAAAATGAGCTGCAATTCTCTCTCCACCCTGAAGTTTCTTTGTATCTTCTATGCCCAATGAGTAATTATTTTCGACTCCCTTGAATCTGCTACGAGCTTCATGAGAAAAGGATTATAGTGTTTTGTTCATGCCTGTTGTCCAGAATTCAGCATAGATAAAAAGATGCTCAGAAACATTTTGTGGACTTGAACAAGGTTGCAAATCCCTCCAGTGCAAGGATCCTGCCTTACCCAGTCTCTTTAATCTTCTAGCTCTCAGTGCTTCCTCTACAGTAAGGCTTTGAGCAGCTTTTGCCTTAGAAATGAACCCTCTGCAGTCAAGCGTGTTCTAATTCATAGCAACTGTTCGTTGGTTCCGAGGCAGCACATCTTTACTGGAGGATCGGCTCAGAGCAGCTAGTGGGTTAGAACTGCTGACCTTTTATTTAGAACCCTGGCATGCAATAGACTGCTGCACATATCTTTAATTGGTAGAAGTCTTTTCCAATTTTGGGGAAACACTCTGTGTGCACCTTGAGAGAAATCCCAAAGTTCTCTGCATAAACCTTGCAGATTAGGGTGAGATTACGAGGGTGATTAAAGACCTTATACGTCAATCCACAATGCTTAGATGTTCAGTTACATTTCTAGCTGATCTCATTGCCTTTTTTAATCCTTCTACTCTTAGGATACCCAGGCTTTGAATTCCTGGAAGGCACTGAATGTATCTGATTAGTACAGCAGTTTGCATTGAGTAGACGTTTCAAGCTATTGTTGAAAAAAATAATAAGTGAACTAAATATTTAAGGTTGGAAGCAGAAGTGGCATCTACTTCCCTAATAGCTTGCCTCCGGAAACCCTATGAACCTGGATCAAGGATGAAAGTCATGCAAATGTCGAGGACTTTCATTCATAAGGTCACTATGAGTCACGTGCGACTCAACGACACTTAACAACAACAATAAAATATTTAAGGCGTCTTCCTAACCCAAACACGTTATTGTTCAAATATTTCTCACTTGGGCATTTATTCTCATTGATTAAGCTCCACTCATTGGCACCAACTTGGAACTGAGTCATAGCTGACTGTCCATCGACTTTATGACCCTGCAAATCTCTGGAGGAGACTATGGAGCCACTGGTGGTCTCGAACCACCAGAGTGGGCTAGCCTTTGGGTTAGAGCACAGCTTTCTCTGAGCAAGCCTATCAGAATTTCCTACTATTCCCGTTGAATCCAGTGCAGGACCTCACACTTGAAAGACTTGGTAAGGTGGCCCTTCCTCTTCTAGTGCATGGATGGAGCGGTACCAGATTTATGCATAGACTGATGGCAGAAGAGCAGAAAGAGACTGATAGAAACGTAAACAGAAAGACTCAGTGTGGAGGTTAAGGCTGAACACAGAACATGAGCCAGGTGGGGTCAAGGGATCCTTGGATCCTTCTAAGATGCTGTGATACATGAAGTTGGCAGTTCCTGCTAAGCCACCCCTGCTTATGGCCACGACAGGGCTCATGAGGGGAACCGCTGCAGGACTGCAGAGAGTCTTTGAAGCCCCTCTGCTGACCTTGAGATTGAACTTTCCTCTCCCCTCCCCCAGGGGTTCTTTCCAGCAACACAGAAGGTGAAAGGCTCTTGCATCTCTTTGCCCTGTCAGTAAGGGGCCTTTAATCTGCCTTAGCATGAAAAATTCATTAAGAATGTACTATTATTTCATCAGCGAGATCCTCAAATTTTAAATTAAATCCATAGGTCTGGTTTAGCAACCGCCGTGCAAGATGGAGGAAGCAAGCTGGGGCCAATCAACTGATGGCTTTCAACCATCTCATTCCCGGAGGATTCCCCCCCACTGCCATGCCGACTCTGCCAACATACCAGCTGTCGGAGACCTCTTACCAGCCCACGTCGATTCCACAAGGTACAGAGGAGGGTGGGGGAGGATGAACATTGGACTGCCTTCTCTCCTACGGGGTAGTCCTCCTAGGATGCTGCCATGATGATTGTCTCTATGCGGACTGTATCACCTCGGCACATCTTGAATATACCCATTTACCATGTTGCAGAAACATAGTTTGTTTTCTGGCCTCCCTGAGTCTCTCCAGAGAAATTGGCTTGTCGTGTAAGCTGATTGCATGATTCGATCTTGAAAGCAACAAAAGGAAGCCAAACAGCCATCCTACATAAACACACCAATTTGCTTTCTTGTGTTAAATTTTCTCCCGAACATTTGTTCTTTAGTCTGCAGTTGTTTGCAGACAGAGACACTGATAGATGTTTACTGCCTGTGGCGGTAATAGAGCGATGGGCAGTTTAGAAGAAGCAATTCTTTAATAGTATGCAGAGGTGAGTTGGGATCACGTTACATGATAAGGCTTCATTTTTGGATTAAAAGATAATATTTGAGACATTTAAAATGATACGATTTCATTACCGTCTAGGTACTTGTTTACTTGATAAGAAATTTGAGATTTAGGATTTTGAGTTGGGTGAATCTCACCTTTGATAGATGATACGCAGAACCACAGTAGTCACGGGATTTATGAAGGCAATTTCTACCTTGAAAGTCTGGGTGACTTTGTCACGGGAGTGTATAAATGAGTTATGCTCTTGCAAACTGTGTGCAGAGATGTGGCTGTGTGTGTGTGTTGGGAGCAAGCCTATAGGAAGAGGTTAGGAAGTGCAGTGTGGGATTCACATGTGATCTGACCAAGACTAGTCTGGGTATGAATTAGATTAGGTGTGTAATAACAAGACACAACTGATGCCTGTGACTTGTGAACTTTTGCACTGAGCTTGCTACAAAGGAACCTTATGGCCGACAATCTCCTCCATTGCAGCCGTGTCGGATCCCAGCAGCACCGTCCACAGACCTCAGCCACTTCCTCCGAGCACTGTCCACCAAAGCACCCTTCCTTCCAACCCGGAGGGCAGCTCTGCCTACTGCCTGCCCAGCACCAGGCACGGATTTTCCAGCTATACGGACAGCTTTGTACCTCCGTCCGGGCCCTCCAACCCCATGAACCCCGCCATTGGCAATGGCCTTTCACCTCAGGTCAGTCCCGCTTTTCCAGACAGACGATTTGCTGTATACCAGAACCAAATAGTCAATTCCCCGAGGCAGGAGTGTCATGCATTGCCAAATTTAAACCATAATGTATTCTTTATACGAGCCACATGATTTCAGTTTCCTGGTTTCCTTTCTCTCCACCCTGCCTACTGGCTGCATCAGAAATTGTAGCTTCGACTTAAGATCCAAGTGACTTTTAAAAAATGCAACCATGGAACCTTTGTGTTTATACTTAATTGTCAAGGCGTATGCCATGTGTGATCTCCCCCATCCCTCATTCTGGGCTTTGGTTAAGAAGCTCACAAACATTGGAAGGGATCGCCCCCCTCCACCCCGCCTTTTATGGTATTTGGTCAGCTGATGGGCTTGTGAGCAAACACACCTCATAAGAAAACACGAAACAAAAACAATGGGAGAGGAAGCCAATCAATTGTGTGGAGTGAGACCCAGCTGATGACTATGCAGATCTTGAGAGTAAATGAGTTATAAACGCACACATTAGGGGAATTACTGCTCTTTGGGAATATATAAATATTTGAGTATCATAATTGTTTTTTTAATTTGCATTGGACTCTGAGCTTTTCTTGGGAGAGCATATTAATAAATTGCCTTGATTGCATGTCAGAGGGCTGGATAAATTTCCTACATGTGGCATCTGTCTAAGGTTGACATTATTAGCAGTTGTTTAAATACAGATCGCCTGATTTTATTAGAGTGCATTTGGCCCAGGTGGTGAGAAGAGCTGCCCACGAAATTTGGAGAAATGTCACACAAAGGAGCTGCAATCTATAATTACAATCGGGAATCTCTTCAGGGCCAAGAGTGAGAGTTTTAACAGCTTTATCTTTTCTCAACCCCCGTCTTCCTCTCGGTGGCTAGAAAAACAGAGAGAAGCTCAGAATGACACAAATGAAAAGTGAAAAGACAATTATCCTCAATTACACACTAATCACGGACTATCACTGCTGCCCAAACACCAAGAGGGCATCCTAATAGGCAGAAAATGAGATTTTAATGGCACAAAGGGTGGCCAAAATAACGACTCGGATATCTTTGCCTTCTTCGTTTTCTTCAACTTGTGGTTTGCATCTCGGAAGTGGCCTTCCTAGGCTCTGCTCAATGGTGATAACTCAGAAGCTGAAAAGTTCAAAGCCCTTGGAGTTGAAAAGACTGAACAGCAAAGGCAATGAAATAAACATTTCTGCCTAAAGGCAAACGTTCATACTCCACCCTCCCTCCCCCTTTTTTTGGGTAACAGTAAATGTAATTAAGTTTCATAGATTCCTATAGCACATCCTGGGATTAAAAAGAATGAAAATAAGAGAGAGCCTTAAACTTCAGTTGGAAAAATCGCAACATGAAAACAATGACAGTGTTTCTTACGGGACTTTCATAAATTTAATTTTCAAGTGCTGGCATTTGTGGATGTTATTTTGCAGGAAGATCGGGGACTTGAATGCACAGACTCATCTGAAAAATGGTTAGATTCAGGGGCATATCCGCTTCGGTTATGCTCCAGCAGGGACTTCAAAAGTGGTTATCTCAGCAGCTTTTAGCAAGTTGTGTTCGGCCGTGGAAAAACATTTTGTGAACATGATTTAGTTAAAAGTTTTAATAAAAGTCAATTCTGACCCTAACAGTTCCTGTTCGGTGGGAGCTGGGATTTCTGTGGCATGCCTTACTGCCTTGTTCAAGTTAATCGTAATCCAAATCACAACACCCACCTACATTAGAGAAGTGAATAGCTAGTTTCTAGTAGTTATATACACACACATTATCTCGTATGATACGTGTACTCTCCTCTATTATGTAAGAGTTCTGTGAGTGGAACTGTTGGATTTTGATCATGAAGCTGTTAATCCTTGATTCAGAGCCTGGCTATGATTTCTGGGTTGGCGGTAGGGTGGGAATCTGTCCAATATCAGGCAATGGAAAATTCCACTGGCCACTTTTCTGGCATTTCTTTACTATGCTCTTATATATTATGCTAATTCCCTGCTTATTATATTGCAGATATCCATGATAGTCTGCTTACTAACACACGTTTCTGCCTCAACCAGCACAAGGAATTAATGCTTTGCTACTTCTTGTAGTCTTCCCAATGAGTTAGCAAAGAGACAGAAATGTGAAGCTTTGCCTGACTTTCTTAGGCCAGCGGAGGATGAAAGACAATGAGTAGAGTATATTACCAAACATGTTCACTGAACAACACAGGAGGAGAACTGGGGTTACAGCTCAGACCTCTCGAGCCTTTGGGATTGACCACTTCTCAGGAAGGTGTCAACTTAAGCTACAGGGACCTACTTTTGCTTTGCTAATGTTCTTAAAAATGATTTGAAGAAATAATTTCATGCTAAATAGCGTGGTTCATCTAAAGAGAAAAGTAAGGAAAGGGTGCAGGCCCTTTTGTCACTGCTGAAATGCTAATTAAAGGAACCATGGTGGCATTATATTGGAATACTAACTGAAAGGCCAGTGGTTCAAACCCACCAGCTGCTCCTCAGGAAAAAGATGCACAGTCTCCTTGGATTTATGGCCTTGAAAACCCACTGGAGGGTCGCCGTGAGCTGGAATTGACTTGGTGGCAGTGATTTTGGCTCATTTTTGAAATTCTTATTAGTTCATTGGGTCTCATAATGCTACAAATGGAACAGATTTTAGGATTAAGAGTCACTAGGGGGTGTGAAGAGTCGAACATCTGACTGCTCTCTGAAAGTCCGGCAGTTCCATGTACTTCTAAAAGGTAACCACCTTGAAAACCATATAGAGCTGTTCTACTATCACACACACGAGAATACCATGATTTGAGACTGACTGAACAGTAGTTAGTTGTATTTTTTTTAGTTTTAGTTTTTTATGTTGAAGTTATTGTTGTTGTTATGTGCTGTTGAGTCGCTTGCAACTCATAGCGACCCTATGTACAACAGCCCTAAACCCTGCTCTATCCTGTGCCAATCGCACTGTCTCCGACACACCTATCCTACTTATCCCAGTCATTGAATCAATCCACCTCATAGAGGTCCTTCCCCTCCACCCTCCCAAGCATGATGTCCCTCTCCAAGGACCTGTCCCTCCTTACAACATGTCCAAAGTATGTTAGACGAAGCCCCATAATCCGTACCTCCAAGGAGCAGCCTGGTTTATCCCTCTCCAGGATGAATCTGTTTTCTTGGCAGTCCATGGGACATTTAATACTATTCTCAAAGGCATCAATTCTCCTTCTATACTTCCTAGTCATCGTCCAACCCTGATGCATAACAAGTGATTGCAAAGACCATGGCCTGTATCAGACACACCTTTGTCTCCAGAGAGACACCATTGCTCTTCAGTACTTTGGAGAGGTCCCTAACAGCAGACTTTCCCGCCGCAATACGTTTTTTGGTTTCCTGGCTACTGGTGCCAAGAGTGTTGACTGTGGAGCCGAGCAAACTAAAGCTGTGAACAATCTCAATCTCTTCACCATACATCCTGATGCTGCCAATTGGCCCAGTGGTGATAATCTTTGTTTAATTTTAATTTAATTTTAATATTTTTTGTGTGTGTACCCTCAAAGCATATCTGACTGGTACAGGAGGAGATTGCCCCTCCTTCTCCAGCAAAGTATCTGGTGGATTCAAACTGTGTGCCTCTGGGATTGCAGTGCAGCTTTTTGCCACTAGGCCACCAAGCTCCCCTGAGGTTATTATTTCTCATCTTCCTGTCTTATCCTTCTACCTCTTATTCTTTTGCCTTTAGTAGATAAACCACAGGAGATCCAAAGAGACTGTAGCCTGCTGAAGGCCACAGAGCTGAAGTGAGACTAGAACTTGGGATCTTGACTCCCAGCTAAGTCATCCATTACAACAGAGTTGGCTGAAGAAGAAACAGACTCCAGGGGGGAAAAGGAGCAGGGAGCTTGAGTTATCTGATTCCATTTTTCTCAAGTATTCAATTCTCAAGGATCTCTCAGCCCTTTTCTTAGGGATGGGCTCAGCTTTGTGAGGGATCGGAATGGAGCAGGGACTCAGGCAGGTCACATCAGTGCAATCTGACTGGGGTAGTGATGAGTTGTCATGAGACACGTCTGAGTGAGACATTCTAAACTGCAGAATAATGACCCAATCTTTCAGGAACTTTGGCCATATTTTTTTCTCAAGCTATCTAAATAGTTTGTAAACCATTTAAACATTGGCAAGTTACCTTGTTCTGAAATCAACAATTACGTATTGGGAATATTCCCTATCACACTTACGGGAAACTGAGTCCAACTCAGCATTGACATGTAAATAGCACACGAGTTAGTGCTTGAGCTTAGAGCCAAGTCTCTGTTCTGAGCATTACAAATTCCTCTGTGAACACAAATTACACCTTTGATTTGTGGGTCCTGAGAAGTTTTCCATGGGCTCTAATACTGATAACAACCTCTTTGATGGAAGCTATTTAAGATACTTTAATTATTCGTGCATTTTACTGGATTTCTTTGGTGTCATTGAATTTAATGTCTTGCTTACCATTGAAACCTAGAAATCATGAACCATAATAGGTAGGATTTGCAATAGGTTCATTGCTGCTGAATGGGTTATTTATTTATTCATTTTTGAAGTCAAAGAATTAATAGATAGCATGAGATTAGATAGCTCATTTTTCTGTATGGACCACAGGAGATTTTTGCTCCATGATGGTCAACCCGGGGATAGGATAATGACCTTAATATTTCCCCTGTCTCTGGATAGTGGTGATTATCTGCCTCACATAACTCCTTCAAGGGATGGAACTTGTGACAAGTGACCAAACACACTTTAAGAAGAAACTCATTCTACTTTAGCCAGGGCTTCCCCCTGCAGTAGCAGCCTTCTTTTGAAAGGCTGTGTTCTCTTGGTGTCGGGGAGAACGCAGAGCCTGGGGAAGTGTGGATGGTTTCCTTCCCTTCCGTACCAAGATGGTATGGACCCAGCTCTTGCATGTGCAGGAGGGAAAGGAATGCTGACTTGGACCAGGGAGTGCCA